TTTCATAACCAAGGTTCTTCCACATGATGCATTCAACATGTGCAAGGCAAGAGCAGGCCTCATGACACTTTATGAAGCAGTGGAGCAGTTTGAGGAGAATGAGGAGTGTGAGGGGAAGAGACGTGGGCAGCAGCATGACGTGTATGCTAAGGAGATGTGAAAGGAGCATCATCATGGGTGTATGTGTGCTTCGAGTCTGGTGCGAGGGGGAGTGTTGGAGAATCAAGTTTCTGCCGCCCCAGCCCTTTGCACACAAGCAGCTATCAGTAGATCTGCACTGTGGATGCCCGATTGATCCTGGAGAGGGTTACAGGCGCGTTCGCCTGGGGGGTTATGGGCGCACTGACCCGCTACTGAAACAAGCTCTTTTATCCCAATGGTCTAGTGGTTGGGATTCTGACATGGTATCAGAGCGGTCTCGGGTTCGATTCCCGGTGTATGCACATGTAGGCCGTTGCCGCTGTGCTTAGTCCTGTGCCTCCCAGTGTGGGGGGGTGTCAGTAGATCTGCACTGTGGATGCCCGATTGATCCTGGAGAGGGTTACAGGCGCGTTCGCCTGGGGGGTTATGGGCGCACTGACCCGCTACTGAAACAAGCCCTTTTATCCCAATGGTCTAGTGGTTGGGATTCTGACAGCAACAGCAAGGGGGAATGTCGGCGATGAATCAGAGGCTTCGGGAAGTACTTCGAAAGTTCCACCATCAATCATATTTCAGCCGAAGACTCGATACAGTTCAAAGCTGCCTTCAAACCGAAGTGTTGGCAGTTTCTACAGGTTTCTACACATCAGAATCAGCTATAACAGAAATATCCAGAGTTTTCTTATTCATGCACCTCATGTGGCACTCAAAGTCACTCAAGGTCCATCCAATCTAGATTGTGCCCAAGTTACCAGGGAAGTTACATTGTCTATCAGCCTAGTTTGAGCTTTCAATCTGTCTTGTTTGTGATGCCTATAGAGTTGTGCTTTAGTGGGCTTGTTAATCTTGAACATAGTGAAGTTTTACCTCATCCAGTCAATTCCAGCAGCCCTGCTAAGACTTTCCAGCCAAGTTTCCAGCCCTCCAGTAGTCACAGCTACTCTGTTTTACAAGTATAAAGCGGTCGAAGAGGAGCTGAAAAAACTATGTCCAAAACCCAAAACCCGCCATCCTATCGGCCGCAAGATCACACACTCAGGTGCAAACTACGTCAAACTAACACGCTGACACGCTGTCCAACGAACGCCACGGGCAGGAATTTGTTGTGTGCTGGCCATCTCTCACCAAACTGTCAAGCTACCGTCACGTCAATCTCCTTTATTTACCGCTTTCCGCTCTCTCAATGCTTTCTCCCATCGCTCCTGCCGCTCCCTCTTGTTGTTCTCGCCGCCCTCGCCGGCAATCCCCTCGCACCCCCAGTGCTCCCAGCTTCGCTCGCGCCGCCCGTCGCTTTCTTACTCGCTCCCACTCTCCTCGCTCACATCACTACTGTCGCCCTGTTTCTCTAGTCGATCCTCTCTCTCCTATCGCCCATGTCGGTCCCTCGTTCCTTCGCTGCCTCGTTTGCCCTGCTCCACCGCCTCGCGGAAGCGAGGAAGCGACGGGCCGTCGCTTTCTCTTCCCCCGTTCGTCCCGTTGCTTCTGTCACTTCCATCATTTCCCCGATACGCTTAAGTTTTCTCTCCCATTCCAATTCCATTGAATGATCTCCCTAAGTATTTACGTGACCTGTTTAACGTGACCTGGCTCGTCAAACAAGGATGACAAATTTGAATGACACTAGACTAGACTACCATGGGAAAACATGTCCACTCACACTGCCTCACATCACGTACCACTACCAAACTGCGGTGAAATAGTTGCTAGGGTGGATGGTCAGGCGACGCGGCGTTCGAGAAGGGAGTTGAGATTTCATCTTTTTTTGCTGACGAAATTTGCTGCTGGCGGACTAGCGAGCGCACGACATGTTTGTGATGCTCGCATCGCTTTATGACATGACGCACTTCGATGGCTAGCGAAGACAGGTCGGCGAATTGCACGAAGCACCAGCGCAACCGTGAGCCCCCGCGAACCGACACCGTGTCGAGCCTCGCACGTAGGTGCGTCGTAACACCTTCGTTCACACGACACACGTTTGAATGGCCCAAACCAACGTGCCATGAAATGTTATGACAATGTGTTTAGGGTTGTTGCCTCTTACGAGTGCAATTGAGTGAACGAACGAGAGTTGCACTATCGAAGCAAGAGTCCAATGAGCGAAGGCATGAGCGAATAATATATAGCGAAACTACAGTGGTAGCGGTAATGGACTGTGGTTGTCGCGCGACGGGCCTGGGACTGAGGTTGGGAAAAAGTGTCGAAGCGAAGGCCCGGAGCGTGGGTTACCCGCCGAGCCGTGAGGTCGGGGTGCGATGTGCGAAGGTGGCGGGCGGATTGTCGATGCGAGGGTTGCGAGTGGTAACGGTGCTGACTGTGGTGCTACAGTGATGTACGCGTTGAGCAGGGATGCGAAGTAAGGAAAATGATTTTTCCTTACAATGCCTCCCTGACCGGATGCATGCCCGTATGGGGTTTATATTTTTTGCCAGCTTGTCCGTTCAGAAATCCGTCACGTCGTGTGGTCAGGTCTGACGGAGCGCGTGGGTGAGGCCCGAAATTGGTTAGAGACAGGTCCGGACCAGGTTCGAAACATCGCGACACACGAGGCCCCAAGTTGGTTCTATTCCTAGAACTTTGGGGCCCCAATCTGATCATTTCCTTGTTATGTTGGTGCAGCAGGGTCGTGCCGCACGATTCTGGACGGCACACCGTCACAACAAAGCCCCTGGCTCGCGTTTCGTGACACCAACAACAGAAACAGTAGTTTCTTGGCGAATGAATCTGGGTTACAGGAGTTCGCAACAAAAGAGGCGTGAACTGGGGCTCCCTGCCTCTCACTCTCTTGCCCCCCTGAGCCCGCTTCTCCCATTCCTCGCACAAAATCTAGCGGGTGTGCGACTGCACGAACCCATTTGCGAGCCCCTCTATTCTGCTTGGCCCGCCATTTCGTAGCATAGGAACTGCTCCCTTGCAGGAGATTTCGCCTCTGCTTTTCGTTTCCGCATCGACTCTTGAGGTGCCGATACTTTCTAACCAGTCACATTGGGAACTTCTTAACGCGTATGGAAAGAAAACAAGCTTTGGCGTCGGTTCCCAGGTTCGGCGTGGTTCTTAGCTCTCTCGCTGCATCCCTTCCCGCTGCAACTCCGCTGTATCGCCTTTAGGCTTACATGAAAAGTCGAAGCGCATCCGCTGTGCCTCAGATATGTAACCCCCGTTTTGACCAATGGGTATCAAAGCGTTTTTTCCGCTCTGCGCGGAGCCCGTCTTATATCAGTCTCAACCGCCTCTTAAGACCAAGTAGCTTCAATTTGTTTTGAATCTTCACTCGTTTAGTAGCTTCATTCACTTCCATACCCCGTAAGCATATTCCTCGGCAACAATGGTCACAAAGTTGACGGATTCGAATTTTGGTCTCGTTTATGAAAGTAAGCTTCCAGCGGTGGTCTTCTTCTCTAATAAATCGGACACCTCTTGCGTAAAAATGCTCTCTATGTTCGAAAGCCTCGCGGAGGAACACACGAATCTAGCATTCTTCAACCTGGATATTGACGAGAACCCTATTGATAGCCGGGAGTATTTTATCCGCGAGCCGGCTTTCTTACTCTTTGATGGATGGCAAAATGTTGGCAAGTTTGTCAGCATGGATGATATGGCGGGTCTCGGGCATTTCATAACTCACCGCTTCCGCGTGAAGTGATGTGTACTCCCTTGGAATTCAGGCGCATAAAATGTCGCTGACATTCAGGCGCATTGCTGGTTGTTGAAATTATCCAGGGCTACGATTTTTCAGCATCTACACCAGCCAACCCAAGGTTATCAATTCTCCAGCCCGCCCATGTGTGCGAGGCACTGAAGATCGCAAAAAATCAGTGAAGAGGGGCGTGGGCTGCTGGGAAGAGGGCAAGGGAAGGGAACTCAACCTAAAGAACACTTGCAGTTTGCATGATTCGAAATCACTAAAATCTTTTGACCTTGACAATCAAATCATTCAGAGGCTTGCCCTGGCAAACTTGATTTGCCTGGACACTTTCCAGCTTTCCTTTTCCCCTTCCCTTTTTCAGCAAAAGAGAGTAGCTTGTTCTATTGTTTCACTACCCCACCAACCTCCTTGCTCCCACCCAATCAAACCCATCACTCCTCTCCTCTGGAATAACTGAACCTTCAGAAACAAGAGATCCTTCAGAGAGGCTCAACGACGAATATCTCAACAACCTCCTCCCTCCTTCCCCTCCTCCCCACACTGTCGTGAGCATCAGCTCCTGCATTCTTCCAAAAAACTCGACTCATCTGACAGAACTGACCCTTCAGAAACAATCGATCCTTCGGAGAAACTTGACGACTCCCGCAACAAGCTCATCCCTCCCTCCCCTCCTTTCCAAGCCGTTGTGAGCATCAGCTCCTGCATTCTTGGATGCTGTATTCTAGAATCCGATAACCGTTCTGGATGCGGCAACACCAGAAGGCCTATCGACGGGACTTCCGGTCTTTGAATAGGCTTTTGGGACGTCAATCCAATCACCTGACCGGTTTTGGAGCCCTGTCTAGGGTCTGAGTGAGATTCTTTGCTCCCCTGTGCAAGATGCGCCCTCTCCTCTGCCCTTCTTGTCCCCTCTTTGAGCTCACCCGCTCTATCTATACTCTGCTTCCTCAGCGACCCCTTCTCACCGTCTCGCTCATCCTCCTCGTCCGTTTCCTCATCCTCTGACCCAACCACGATACTGAGAAGAGGAATCCCTTCCCTCTCACCCTCCTCCCCCCCTGCCAATCCTGCTTCTCCCTTTCCTCGCCCCACTTTTATTCCCGTCACCACTGCTCCTCCCCCTCCCAATCCTCCTCCTGAAGCACTCGCCTGAGTGGCAGTGGCATGGCCATACATGACCATTCCTGTGACCGCTATACACATGCCGAGGATGCCTTTAAGGGAGATGGCAGAGTCGAATAGCACCACTCCCAGCACGAGCACTAGCACGGTCTTCATGTGGCCTAACACCTGGTAAGTCGAGGCGGAGAATTTCCCGATGCAGAGGTAGGCGCTGAGATTGCAGACCACTGCTAGGCAGCAGGAGAGAGTTATGAAGACCTGTAATGGAAAAGGGAGTACCAAAAGGAAGAGGAGCAGGAGGTGAGGGAGAGCCGAGGGAAGGACGATGAGGAGCAGCATGAAGGCCTGGAGAGGTGCTGATTGGCTGAAAAGTTAAGGGAGAGGGAGAAACTGAGGTATCAGTTCAGCCGTACTCACAATGGCGTAGGGCTGGTAATGGTAGTCGAGGAGGGAGCGGGAGGTGAGGAGGAGGTCGAGGGAAGGACCGATGAGGAGCAGCATGAAGGCCTGGAGAGGTGCTGATTGGCTGAGGAGATCGAAGGAGCCAATGGAGTATCGTTCTTGGAGCAGACCAATCAGCTGTGAGAATGGGAAGGAGAGTATGGGGAGAAAGGAAGGCGATGTTAGCAGGAGGGAAGGAGAATGGTGGAAGAGGGAGTGGATCGAGAAGGTCGAGTTTCATTCTGCAAGGGCAGAGGGCTAACAAGGGCTTTGCAGAGTGATACCATCACATGCACATTGCCATATTTATTGAATGCAGGCATCGTACCATCATGTGCATGGCGGAGCAGAGAACTGCAAATGCAGCCACTGCTAGCCCAAGTGGGTTGACATGGATCTCCGAGACAGTGCAGAGGGCGACGCCCAGCATGACCACCAATTCTTTGAGTCAATTCAAGTCGAGTCATCAAATCGTACCATCATGTGCATGGCCGAGCAGAGCACAGCAAAAGCAGCCACAGCTAGTCCCAGCGGGTTGACATGGATTTCCGAGACAGTGCAGAGGGCGACGCCCAGCATGACCACTGCGACGGCTGCTTTCACCCGCGGGGTGAACGATCGCCCCTTGAAGACAGCCTCGAAGAAACAGACGGTCGGGATGATGCTGACCTTGGAGATCTACGGTTGAGAACGGAGGGGGTGTGGCAGGAGAGGGTTGTGGGGGGGAATATGAGACGAGGAGGGGAGAAAGATAGTGAGGGAAAATGAGAGGAGGTGAGGTGAGGGGGGGGGGAATGAGAGTGAGAGAAGTTGATGGGGCCTGGACCAGCCCGAACCAGGAAGAGCAACAGCACCACACGCCGTAGCTGAGCAGTGTGACTCGTTACAAGCTGAACAGCGTGACTCGCCAAAAGCTGAACAGCGTGACTCCTCCAAGCCCACCTGGTAGAATCCGACGGAGTTGAGGAGGAGCGAGGGGTTGGTGGCGACGAGGGTGACGGAGTGTGACTCGTTACAAGCCAAACAGCGTGACTCGTTACAAGCCCACCAGGGGAACGAAAGGAGAGACCCACCTGGTAGAATCCGACGGAGTTGAGGAGGAGCGAGAGGTTGGTGGCGACGAGGCTGGCGTTGCCGAGCAGAGCGAAGCCCAGCAGCACGGGGAGGGGCACGCTGAGCTGCTTGGGGACCAGCCCCGCGCACGCTGATGCGACCCCCGTTAGGGCTGTGAGCGCGAAGTGCATCCCCGTCAGTGTGCTGACTGGACGAGGGGGAGTATGGAGGGGAAGAAGGGGGAATGAATGGGGAGGTGAGAAGCCCAGCCCAGCAGCACGGGGAGGGGCACGCTGAGCTGCCTGGGGACCAACCCTGCGCACGCTGATGAAGAGAGGGGGGAAGGGGATGGGGAGGGGGACGAAAGGGGAATGAGGAGGTGAGAAGGCCAGCGGCACCCCCAGCGGCACGGAGAGCTGCCTGGGGACCAGCCCCGCGCAGGCTGACGCGCATCCCGGTTAGTGATGAGACTGGGGGAGGGGGAAGGAAAGGGTTGGGGGTGTGAGGAGGCGAGGAACGGGAGGAAGGGAGGCGGTGTAGGGTGGGGAAGGGAGGGAAGGGGAAAGGGGGACGAAGGGGGAGAGATAGGAAAAGGGATATAGGGGGTTACGAACTCTGTTTCTGCGGTACTACCGAGTACGAAGCAACTATTACCGAAGACGAGGCAAATACGAATCAGCTCTTACCGAAGCCGTATCCGGAAATGACTTGCTTGTTGACCATAATGATCCCCACCCACCCCGGCCATACTCTAACGAGTTACATGGCTTACCGAATCAATTCTTACCGAAGACAAAGCCGTATCCGGACATGACTTGCTTGTTCACCATGATGATCCCCACCCACCGACCCCATGAGTCGCTCTAGCCACGTGCGACTGACTAGATTAATAATGTCTTACCGAATAACGAGGCATCTCTTACCGAATACAAAGCCGTATCCGGACATGACTTGCTTGTTCACCATGATGATCCCCACCGACCCCACCACGTTCATCGACCAGATGCCCACCGTCGCCGCACATGACGGCGGCTCTCGCGCTGCTGCTGCTGTTGCGTCGCCGCGCGCTGCTGCCACCATTTCGTTCGACGCAGCTGCTGCTGTCGGTTTAAAGTCGGACCCGAATATTGACGTTAACTCGTCATGGTTCGATTCGAATGCCGAGAACGTAGGCGACGGCGACGATTCGCGAAACTGTTGGTTTTGCGGTAACTCGAACGACGAGAACGACGACCTTTCGTACGCCTGTTGCTGCTGCTCTAATGGCGACATATCGCACAACCCCGCACACGAGAGTCTAAGTCCGTAGCCTCCGGCAACAGAGAGAACGTACCTCGCAGGGTAAAACACCCAGTTAGTACGCAAAATGATGTACTACCTGCCCTGATACCTCTGGTACAGCTGAAACCTCTAACTACTTCTAGCGAGAATGTTATGACATAGTAGCGGCTTGAAGCACGGAGGCTGATGCTAGGTCAGTAGCGGGAAAATCCACGACAGACACGTACTGTTGCTGATAAACGCTAGTAAGCCACGATATGGCGAGTCCAGGTAAGTGAGGTGGAGCATTATTGAGGGAGTGTCCAGCTCGTTCATTTACTGTTCGTAAAGCCCTTCAGTTACCACAATTTGCGTTGTAACACTGAGTTTTACAAAAATGCCAGACACGATCAGCTCCCGTTCACGATACGGCACACCCCCTGCACGTACCTCGAATCGTGTGACGCACGTTACAGGAATCAGCGTGCGCATCGAACAATGGTACAGAACCGCGTCCTGCCCACTACAGTGAGTGCCCATCGTATCGCGCGCTTGATTTCGCATGTGCCGCCTGACACTCGCCAAAACCTATAGTGGAAGTGTTGGCCTGGCGAAAATTCTATCGCTTTGGTTGACGAGGGAACTGGTTACCTTGGTTGCCACACGGCCCCTGCACTGTTGAAAACTGTGTGGGGGGATGGTGTCCGCGCGCCAGAATGACAGAAAGGGTGGACTCGAGCAAGGCACGTTCGTTTATAGGTACAGTGTTCAGTTTTGAACCCCGGATCGTGAGGAGGTACTAGATTTCCCGAAATGAACGAGCTGGACACGCCCTGATTGATGTGAAGGTGCCGAAGTGAGGAGAGGAGAGATTAGGAAGACAGAACGAGAAGTGGGTGCGAATGGCGGTTGTTGGAAGTTGGACAACCAACCGAAACAACCAATGGGAGTGTTCCTGGATTCTCCCGAATCCAGGAACAATGCAGAAGACCACCACCACACATTGTTTCTGGTGAAGGTTTTACATTTCGGGACACCCCTTCCGGAGTGCTTTCTCTGCGTTTTTCCTTTTCCGAACTACCCGTCGCCATTTGCTGCTACTAGCCACGGTTTTGGAGCATACACTGGAATATAAAAGTTTGGGGACTGAAGAGTACAGTGGTGCAACCAGTAAACCAGGTTGACGCTTTTCCCGCAAACCACAAGTCACGTTTCACACCGTGAAGAACAACAGAGAACGCTTGATCTCGATCACAAACCATCACCTTGGATTTCACCTGAGCGGTCAGGCTTATTTTCAAAGGCGACAAGGCATCCTCCAATAGCTTGGACTGTATCCGCTGTTTCGCCATCAGCTGGTTACTCACAGACATTCTCGAGAGGCACTGTCAGGTGTTCGTACACAAGCGAGGATTCTGGCGAACTTTGGTGCGAAGTTTGCATGCATGCGATCAGGGCTTTGATCAGTTTTGCACAGTGGCGACAGGCTAGGTTGGTGAAATCTCAGGATCCAGGGCACAGGCGAAACGAAACGTCACAGGCAAACGCAAGCAGCAGGTGGGGCAAGCCTGGAAGGGGTCCACATCAAATTCTATCTTCGGATGGGCGAAAACAAAGTGCGGTACATGATGCCCGCTAAGTACCCACAACTTTTTTCGTCATTTGGGTGTTTAGTGAGCAACAGCTTTTTCGCCTGCTCGCCAACATTCGCCACGGGCAAAATCGGGTATGTAGTGGGCAGGTGAAGAAATGTAACCAGCGCCTTAAAAAAACTCTCACGAACCAGCGTGATAAGGACGTGTCTCACTTCCAACGAGTCTGCGAGCCGGTCCGCTCTTGGAAATGCTGCACCCCAAAACCGTGGACTGGTCCGCCGGACCAGGTTGAGTCCGTACTGGCGAACCAGCTTCGGACTGGTCCGCTGATGAAATCTACAGTGGCGTGTAGGCGAGAACACTGCGTGTTTTTCCCAACACTAGGTTACTATGACTCGTAAGGACTCCATGTCATTGGGCAATCCGCCATCGCGCGCTGTCAAGTTTTGCGATACTCGTGGGGTGAGTTCGCAGCTATTCGTGAAAAGACGACTGTTCAGGAGTCCAACGTGGACCAGCTCGCCGAACCAGTCAAGACTCCCCAGTACAGTCCTTTTCCGTCGTTAAAACACGCGGGTCCACGCTTCGGTCCACGCTCGGGTCCGTGGTGGTTTGGTGGACTGGTCCACGTCGACCGCCTAGATCCAGCGTGGACCGAAGATTTTGAGACACCCTCTAAGCTGAATCGCTCATCGGAATTGAGGGTGACGCACCCCTTTTGCCTGGGACGACGCAGGGGGGTGACGGTCGACCGAGCATCAGGGCGGCCAACTCCCTCGCGTGAGTCCCCCGCCAGGCTGGCGCGGGGCGGGGCTCTGCCCACGACCCCCGCCCCGGCCCCCCACCCCGAATTCCTACAGAACCCCACGTTGCAGCCGACGGGTGGCGAACTCGCGCGTGAGCGACGAGGGGCCTAGTTACCCCTTCACGGAGGCGGACATTCGCTTCGCGTTGCCCGCGAGGCCCTAGTAACCCTCTCGGGCTGCCCTCGCCGGGCAGGCGGGTTGGTTGCGAAATTCAAAGGGCCCGACCCCACCCTCGTCAACATCGCTGGCCCCTCGGGAGGGGACACGTGGCTCGCCCTCGCCACCCCGACCACCCCCACGCACGGCCCACACAAACCACCCACCTCCGCCCCTCCGAACCCCGCCCTCGAGGGCATGCCCGGTACGGGCCGAAGCCAGAGGCTCGCCCTCGGCCACGACGACCTGCCTTGTCCGCCGAGCTGCATACTAGGCGACCGACCCATTTCTTGATGGGGGGTCCCACTCCATCCCTCATTTCTCCTTTCCACCTTCGCTTTCCGATTTCCTCTGCCTCCCTGTCAGCTCTCCGCGCTCCTCCCCAAACCTTCCGTGATACCGACCGTGGTGTTAGCATGGCGACCAGTAGGATAGTACTACCTGCGACTGAATTCCCCCTCCACGTGCCAGTGGGCGTCGGTGGGTACGGGGTGACGCTTGAGATGAAGGACTACGAAGCCCTTCGCGACGAGAAGGCCGAGTTCACAGAACCTTGCTTCGACCTCGGCCTCGCGTGAGCGCGCATCCCTAGGTCGCGCTGTCAGTTGTTTAGGGTTCAGCGCGTTTTCGTCGGCGTCCTTTCTAGGTCGACGTTGGCCTTGTCGATTTCCCGTGTGGTCGACGATGTCCATCCGCGATGGACGTTTTAGCTGCGTCGTCTTATCAACTAGTCGACCATTGGCCCTACGTCGGTGACGTCCGTCATGCTTCCGGCGACATCGCCGTCGTGCTTTACCTTCGTCCGGCATGGATTGTAGCTCACCGCGCAAGTGTTTCGCTCCCGCCTTTTCGCCCCCGCTTGTCCCAGGTACGAGCTCGATCGTCTGGGAAAAGGCGACAGCATGATCCTGATCCGCGGTGCGAGTCTTCGCGCCGCCAGGACGGCGTCGAAGGCGGACTATCTGGTTTTCGGGTCGGCCTTCGGCTTCGAAGCCCTCGCCATCCCCCTGTGCACCGGGTGAGTGTTCCGCGCCCGCGAGGTTTGATCCACGCCGACCGAGTTGCTTGTTGTTCCTGGACAGAACCCTGAATGTCTCCGTCGTGCTTGTGTGGGCAGGGGCGGACCTCTTCCCGGCAGGCACTGCAGCGTCCTGCTTGTTGTGCGCCCTGGCGACCTGCTTTTGCCCGACGAGGAGGAGATCGGGACGTTCTACCGCCACCTCGACCCCAAGACCTCCTCCAAGCGGCACGAGGAGGAGGCGGCCAACGTTATGAGGTGGGACAACGTCGACGGCTAGTCGCGCCGCTCTTTAACGGCGTTCATGCCGCCTTGTCTGATGGCTCTTTCCCTTCTCGTAGCGCAGGTTTTTCGCCGAGTGCGCGAAGGCGGAGTTGAACCGTGAGGGAAGGCAGTGGACGGCTGCGCCTCCTTCCGCCGAAATCCTCTCCGAACGTCTGGAGAGTCTTGCCGCCCCCATCCGTGATGTGAGTTTCCAACGTCCATGTCGCCTTGTCGCCTGGGCTATCGTCGTCGAGGCGTCGACTCACCCTTTTCGTCGTCGCCATGTGCTTCGGATGTTGATGCAGAAATTGCCCGACATCCTCAAGGAGGAGGTCGCCGGCTCGGGGCTGTTTGCGGTCAACGCGTTCGCGTGGTCTTTGGAGCATCTCGACGACGTGTTTCGCAGCTACGATCCGCTCATCGTCGAGAACCCGAAGATGGTCGGCTTGAAGGCGCTCCGACTGGAGCTGCTGCACCACGCGGAGAAGGCCGCGTCGAACAGAGGGGAGGCGGCGTCGACCGTGGCCCGTGGCGTCGAAACCGGCATCGCTATGGGTGGGGAGGAGGAGCACGAGAGGGAGGACGTTGAGGGGGGCGGGGAGCACGACGGTGGCTCGGAAGAAGAGGAGGAGGACGTGGAGCGTGAGGAGGACGACGTGGTTGTCACCGGCGAAGAGGAGGCAGTGCAGTTCGCCGGTGAGAAGGTTGCGGATATGGGCGGCGGCAGCGGACCCAAGTTGGGCAAGAAGGCCCGGGGCAGCAGTGGCTCGTGTCAGAACATATCTATAGCTTATACTGCTGTGTAGGCTGTAGTGGGGTATCCCATAGGGGGTACAACCCAGTTAGGGTTTCATATTTGTACTGCTTTCATTCATAGTTCACTCATTTCCTGTTTTCCTACTTTCACATGGTATCAGAGCGGGTCCTACCTTAGGACCGTTGTCTGGGCCCACCGACGCGCGCCCCGAGGCGCGCCCTTTTTTTTAGCGACCCCTCGGGTCGCCTTTTCACTCGCGGCCCCGCCGCCTCCTCTGACGCGGCTTTGCCGCCTCCCCTGACGTGGCCCCGCCGCCTCCTTTAACGCGGCCCCGCCGCCTCCCTTGACGCGGCCCCGCCGCCTCCCTTGACGCGGCCTCGCCGCTTCCCCTGACGCGGCCCCGCCGCCTCCCCTGACGCGGCCCTGCCGCCTCCCTTGACGCGGCCCCGCCGCCTCCCTTGACGCGGCCCCGCCGCCTCCCCTGACGCGGCCCCGCCGCCTCCCCTGCCGAGGCCCCGCCGCCTCCCCTGACGCGACTCCGCCGCCTCCCCTGACGCGGCCCCGCCGCCTCCATTGACGCGGCCCCGCCGCCTCCCCTGACGCGGCCAAGCCGCCTCCTCTGACGCGGCTCCGCCTCTACTGCCGACGGCCCCGCCGCTGCACTCTACGGCCCGCCGCTGCACCCTGCCGGCCCGTCGCTGCTCCTGCCGGCCCGCCGCTGCACCCTGCCGGCCCGCCGCTGCTCCTGCCGGCTCGCCGCTGCACCTACCGGCCCGCCGCTGCACCCATCGGCCCGCCGCCTCTTACGGCCCGCCACTTGCACCTGCCGGCCCGCCGCTGCACCTGCCGGCCCGACGCTGCACCTGCCGGCCCGACGCTGCATCTCCCGGCCGAGCCGCCCCAACAGCCGAGCCGCCAGGGACCCGAGCCGCCCTGCCGCCGAGCCGCCCGGGAGCCGAGCCGCCCTGCACCCGAGCCGCCCAGCCGCCGAGCCGCCCGGGAGCCGAGCCGCCCTGCACCCTAGCTGCCCAGCCGCCGAGCCGCCCGGGAGCCGAGCCGCCCTGCGCCCGAGCCGCCCAGCCGCCGAGCCGCCCGGGAGCCGAGCAGCTGTGCACCCGAGCCGCCCGGTCGCTGAGCCGCCTTTCTGCTGACTGCACGACCTGCCCTGCCTGGTGAGCACTGTCCCACTGACACTGCGAGCTCTTTCCCTACTGCTTGCACTGCGTCGCTGTCGTCACCATGGCTACCCCTAGTGTCCTAGCTTTTGACGCTGAGGGTCGCGCCATTGATTTTGAGGTCTGGTTAGACGACCTGCAGCTGTTCTTACAGTGCGACAGGGCTGACGACCTTTCTCTCTTTGACCTCACCTCTGGCGCCTCTCCTGCCCCTGCTGCTGATGCTGATCCCGCTGTCCGCTCTAAGTGGGCCACCCGCGATGCTGCTGCACGTCTTGCTGTGCGTCGCCACCTCCCTACCCCTGAGCGTGCGCACTTTAGTCAGTACAAGAGTGCTCAGACCTTGTACGACGCTGTAGTTGCGCGCTACTCCTCCCCTGCCACTGCTGCACTGAGCCGTCTCATGCTTCCCTACCTCTTTCCTGACCTCTCTGCCTTTCCCACTGTCGCTGACCTCATTACGCACCTCCGCACTAGTGACACTCGCTACCGCGCCGCCCTTCCTGCTGAGTTCTGCGCTAAGAACCCCCCCCCCATGTACATCGCTCTCTACTACGTAGTCGCACGCCTCCCTGACTCCCTTCGCGTCGTCAGGGACCACTTTCTCGCAGTCTGTCCCACCACTCTCACCGTCGACCTCCTCGAGAAGGCCCTCCTTGCAGCGGAGAAGAGCATAGTCGCTGTAGGTGCTTCTCGTGGTGACCCTCGCACCCCCATCTTTGAGGGGTGCTCTCCTTCCCCCTTGCTGCCCTCTGTTGCCTCTGCTGCTGCTGCCGACCTGCTTGGTCTTGAGTCGGTCGGCGCGGCGTCTGCCCCTAGTGGGAGACGTCGCTCCAGCAAGGGCAAGGGGGGCAAGGGCGCGGGTGGAGCTGGAGGGGGCGGTGGCGGTGGCGGCGGTGGCGGCGGAGGGAGTGGGGGTGGCGGCGGGGCTAGTGGCGGGGGTGGTGGTGGTGGTGGCGGCAGCGGCGGCGGAGACGGTGGTGGTGGTGCCAGCGGTGGTGGTGGAGGCAGCGGCGGAGGTGGAGGCGGCGGAGGTGGAGGCAGTGGAGGCGGCAGCGGAGGAGGCAGTAGTGGTGGAGGAGGTGGAGCTGGTCGGGGTGGTACCCAGCAGCGTAGCGGCGGTGGTGGTGGCCAGCGCTCGCACCGGCAGCAGCAGCAGCGCTCGCGGGACATCCCTTCGCCTCAGCAGCTTCGTGAGTGGTACGCTGGGCGTCAGAGGGGTGGGGGTACTGGTCCCTGCACCTACGTTCTTCGTTCCGGCGACCGCGCGGGTGAGCAGTGTGGGGGTGCCCACGCCACCCAGCGCTGCTTTGGCCGCCTGACGGACGCTTGGCGTCAGCAGTTCCCTGGGGCTAGTGAGATCCCTCGCTGGGATGAGCTTCTCAGGGCTGGTGTAGCGATCTTTGATCTTGATTTTGATGCTATCCTTACTGCTATGTATGTTGTGGATTATAGTGAGGAGAATGAGGGTTACCGGTGTTTTCAGCCCGACCCGGGCATTGGTACTGCTGCACTAGGTGCTTGTGAGGCTGCTGCTCTAGGTGCCAGTGCGTCTGCGCTCTCAGGTACTGGTGAGACTGCGCTCTCAGGTACTGAGTCGTCCTCGTCCTCCCTCACTTTCACACTTGACTCCGGAGCTTCGCGCTCCTTCTTTCGAGACCGCACTACCCTTTCGCCGCTCGCCAGGCCGGTTGCGGTCTCCCTTGCTGACCCCTCTGGGGGTCCTGTCCTGTCTCACTTCTCCACTGTCCTCCCGTGTCCGGCTGCCCCTTCGGGCACCCTGTCGGGTCTGTACCTTCCCTCGTTCTCTACGAACTTGGTGAGTGGAGCGGACCTGCAGGATGGGGGTGTTCACCAGTTCACTCCTGCGCGTCAGAGGGTGACCCACTGCACGGAGGCTCGCACAGGCCGACACCTGGCCACGTTCTCACGTCGGCCGGGGTCGAGTCTCTACACCCTGACCGTTGAGTCTCCTCCTGTCCCTGCGTCTGGTCAGGTGGCTGCGTCGAGTCAGGTACTTGCTGCTGCGTCCCGGTCAGGTCCTGAGTCTGCCCCCTGTTCTTGTCGCCTCCTGTCTCACGAGACTCTCCTGTGGCACCACCGTCTTGGCCACCCCTCCTTGCCCCGTCTTCGGAGCATGGCTTCCCGTGTCCTTGTCTCTGGTCTTCCCCAGTCTCTCCCTCCTCTCCCCTCCGGGCCAGGACCTTCCTGTGTCCCCTGTGTCGAGGGTCGCCTCCGGGCTACTCCTCACTCCTCCCACTTCCCCCCGACAGAGTCTCCCCTGCAGACGCTTCACATGGATGTGTGGGGCCCAGCCCCCGTCCGTGGGCAGGGGTACGAGCGCTACTTCCTGTTGGTGGTTGACGACTACTCGCGTTACACCACAGTCCTCCCCTTGCGCAGCAAGGGTGCAGTCACTGAGGTGCTGATCGACTGGATCCGCGAGGCTCGTCTCCAGCTCAGGAAGAGCTTCGGCTCGGACTTTCCTGTTCTGCGTCTGCACTCTGACAGAGGCGGAGAGTTCTCTTCTCGCCTTCTGCGAGACTACTGTCGTGCACGGGGGATCCGCCAGACCTTCACGCTTCCGGACTCACCACAGCAAAATGGGATTGCTGAGCGCCGCATTGGCATGGTCATGGATGTCGCTCGTACGTCCATGATGCATGCGGCTGCCCCCCATTTTCTGTGGCCGTTTGCGGTGAGGTACGCGGCGCATCAGCTCAACCTTCACCCCCGGGTCTCTCGGCCAGCGATGTCCCCAGCCTTGCTGTGGACGGGGAAGGTTGGCGATGCGTCTGTGTTCCGTGTCTGGGGATCTCGGGCGTTTGTCCGCGACTTGTCTGCGGACAAGCTGTCCCCTCGTGCTGCTCCCTGTGTCTTCCTTGGCTTCCCCACTGACGCCCCAGGGTGGCAGTTTTACCACCCCTCCTCTCGTCGTGTTCTGTCCTCCCAGGACGTCACGTTCGACGAGTCAGTCCCCTTCTACCGTCTCTTCCCCTACCGCACTCCTTCCCTCCCCCCTCCCCCGGACTTCCTTGTGCCGGTTCCCCCCCCGGTAGACCCCCTCCCCCCTCAGGTTCCTGCCCCCTCAGGTGTGTCCCAGGTAGACGCCGTTGACCCGGTCGAGGTTACTGGTGACTCTGGTGCTGCTGCGGGTGCTGAGCCTGGGGGTGCTGACTCTGGGGGTGCTGTGCGCGGGGGTGCTGAGCCTGGGGGTGCTACTGCTGGGGGTGCTGGGCCTGAGGGTGCTACTGCGGAGGGTGCGGAGCCTGGGGGTGCTGAGCCGGGGGGTGCTGTGCCTGGAGGTGCTGGGTCTGGGGGTGCTGGGTCGGGAGCTGCTGAGCCTGGGGGTGCTGCGTCTGGAGCTGCTGAGCCTGGGGTTTCTCCTGCTGCTGCGTCTCGCCGGGAGCCCCTCTCTCCACAGGAGCTGCGCGAGTGGTTCGCTCGCCGCTGGAGGCGTGCTGCTGAGTCTGGAGGTGCTGCTGGAGCTGGAGCTGGAGCTTCTTCGACCGTCGAGGGTGCGGGTGCAGCCGTTCCCGGAGCTGCTGGCCCTGCGGGTCCTCCTGGAGCTGGAGCTGCTGAGGGCGTTCGTGCTGAGCCTGCTGCTGTTGGTCCTGCCGCTGGAGGTGTGGGTGGCGCTGGTGCTGTCGCTGAGGGTGCTGGTGCTGTCCCTGCTGAGTCTGGAGCTGCCGCGCGGCCTCGGCCGTACTTCGTTCCGCTCCTTCAGCAGGTTCTTGGTCTTTCTCCTCCAGTAGAGGGTCCACCGCCTGTCCAGTCGCAGCCCCTACTGGAGCCTTCCTCTCCGCTGCCTGCTCCCTCTCCTTACACTGGTCCTACTGGAGGTCTTGCTGAGCGTCGTGAGCCTGCGTCTCGTCCCGCGTCGCCTGTTCGTGCTGCTCGCGCTAGTGGTCGCAGTTCGCGTCAGCGTCCTCCTCCTGTCCCTGGCACGCACCGGATGTCTTTACGTCCGTCCACTGCTCCTCTGCGTGCCCCTTTGCCTTCTCCTCCTGAGTCCTCTCTTCCTGCGCTTGCGGACCCTGAGTCGGACTCTCTTCGTGCTGCCAGTCCCACTGTCACGCGTCTGCTTGCTACTGTCGTCACTGACCCCTCTTTTGAGTCCACTGCTGCGTCTGCTCTAGTCGCTGAGCTCGTCGACTTTGCTGCTCGCTGTCGTCTCGACTACGCTGCTAGTCTTGTTGCTGAGTCTGCGTCTGTCTGTCCTCCGTCCGTCGGGGGTGAGTGTGCTCTTGGCACGGACGTCCTAGAGGACAGGCAGGAGGAGTTACAGTGTCTAGCGGCTGCTTCACCTCATCTCGCGTCTGTACTGCTTGCCCCTGAGGGAGACCCGGATGCACTAGACATCCCGACTCCGCGTTCTTACGCGGAGGCCGTAGAGGGTCCCTACTCCTCTCAGTGGCAGGCAGCTATGGATGCAGAGATGGCTTCCTGGAAGTCCACAGGCACCTACGTTGACGCAGTTCCCCCTCCTGGGGCGAACATCGTCAGTGGCATGTGGATCTTCAGGGTGAAGCGGCCGCCGGGCTCTCCACCTGTCTTCAAGGCACGGTACGTTGCTCGTGGCTTCAGTCAGCGGCAGGGAGTTGACTACTTTCAGACCTTCTCTCCCACCCCGAAGATGACTACTCTTCGGGTGCTGCTGCACATAGCCGCTCAGCGCGACTACGAGCTTCACTCTCTCGACTTCAGCACTGCGTTCTTGCAGGGTAGCCTGCACGAGGAGATCTGGCTTCGCCGTCCACCTGGCTTCACTGGGACTTTCCCTCCTGGCACCCAGTGGAGCCTCCGACGGCCAGTCTACGGTCTCCGCCAGGCACCGCGTGAGTGGCACGACACACTGAGGACTACACTTGCGGCTCTTGGGTTTGCTCCTTCTACTGCTGACCCGTCGCTGTTTCTTCGCACCGACACTTCCCTGCCGCCGTTCTACATCCTCGTGTACGTCGACGACCTGGTCTTTGCCACAGCGGACACTGCTGGACTCGCCTACGTGAAGTCCGAGCTGTTGAAGAGACACACGTGCACAGACCTGGGTGAACTGCGCAGCTACCTTGGCTTGCAGATCACTCGGGACAGAGCACGCCGCACCATTACCTTGACTCAGTCACACATGGTGCAGCAGGTCCTTCAGCGCTTCGGCTTCACGTACTCCTCGCCTCAGGCCACTCCTCTGCCTACTCGCCACTCACTCTCAGCTCTGCCTTCGGATGAGTCCGTAGAGTCGAGTGGTCCGTATGCGGAGCTTGTTGGCTGCCTCATGTACCTGATGACCTGCACACGACCTGACCTTGCATACCCTCTGAGCATTCTTGCACGCTATGTTGCTCCTGGGAGACACAGACCGGAGCACATGGCTGCAGCGAAGAGGGTATTGCGCTACCTGTGCAGTACGTCAGGCATGGGGCTAGTGCTTGGAGGGCGGAGTCCAGTGGTCCTTACCGGCCACGCGGACGCGTCTTGGGCTGACGACCAGGCTACGCAGCGGTCGTCACAGGGTTACACCTTCAGCCTTGGTTCCGGCTCTGTCTCGTGGCGGTCTACTCGCTCGTCTTCGGTTCTCGGCTCCAGTTGTGAGGCTGAGATCTACGCCGGGGCCATGGCTGCACAGGAGCTTCGCTGGCTCACCTACCTGCTGACTGACCTTGGAGAGCCGCCTCGTTCTCCTCCAGTGCTGTACGTAGACAACAAGGCTATGCTGGCCTTGTGTCGAGAGCAGCGCTTGGAGCACAGAACGAAGCACATTGCTCTCCGCTACTTCCTTGCTCGTGAGCTGCAGCAGCGTGGTCAGTTGCGACTTGCGTACGTGGCCTCTGAGGCCAACACTGCTGATGTGTTCACCAAGGCACTTGCGCCTTGTGACCATCAGCGCTTCTGCACCCAGCTGGGTCTTGTGCCTGTCTTGCCTCACTTGCTCTCCTCTTGACTTCACTTGTACTGTGACATATATATATATATACCTGCTCTTGCTTGTCTAGCTTTATGTATATGTCTGTACTCTTGCTTGTGAACTGGCCTTTGGCCTCACTCTTGTGCTCGGACTGTGTGGTGACTTTGTGATCCACCCTGAGCTTTGCTTTGTCTTGCTTGACTGGTCTTGTGACCCCTTGTTCTCCCCCACTTTGCCTATGGGGGTGTGTCAGAACATATCTATAGCTTATACTGCTGTGTAGGCTGTAGTGGGGTATCCCATAGGGGGTACAACCCAGTTAGGGTTTCATATTTGTACTGCTTTCATTCATAGTTCACTCATTTCCTGTTTTCCTACTTTCACAGCTCGACCCCGCCTAGGATGGCGTCAAAGGCGGCTATCGAGCGTCTGAAGGCGGCGGAGAGGGAGATCAAGAAGCTGAGGGAGGAGAAGCTGGTGGCGGAAAAGAGGCTGGAGTTCCAAACGGCCCGGAATGACACGATTTACAGCGTGGTCACCTCGGCCGTGAACAAGCTCACTACAGTCGCCGAGGGGGTGACCCATCTCGAGCAGACGTCGGGGAGGAGCATCCAGCTGGCGGTGGACGCTGTGAGGGCGGTCGTGCAGGAGGCGGTGAGCTATCGCGGCTCCACCATCGAATTCATGAACACGCAGTGGCTGCCCACCGTGCAGGCCCTGCACTTGACGGCTACTGCTGCACAGGGTAGGCGACGGGAGGACGACCTCCTGCTGCTTCGAGGTGTGGCAGATTCTCTCGGCCAGAACATCAAAACAGTCGTGTCTGCCGAGGTGAAGGCCGCCATGGAGGGCGAGGCGCAGCGGATCGCCGCTGCCGTGACTGCGAAGGTCGTCCAAGAGCTTAGGGACGACCTGGTGAAGGCGGTCACCTCCGCGACCCAACAGGGCATTGGCACCGCCGGGTTTAGCCTCCTCCCAACTGCTTTCGCGTCGGTGATGCACGGCGGTTGCGCAACCGCCGAGGAGAGTGGGCCGGCCCCAAGGCAGTCGGGGAAAAGGGTCGCCGACGAAAAATCCCTGACCGGCGACCAGACCAGCGGCTCTAAGCGAAGCAGAGGACCTGCGGTGAAACGCGGTGTGGGCGTGGATCCTCCTGCCCCTCCGTATGTTCGTATCCCCGGCGTCCACGACTTGCTGAAAGATGGACTTGGCGCGCGACCGAGCGAACATTTTCGACAGGTCGACGTCGCGCTCGAGGATCCTCAGTCGGTGGTCGGGAAGACCGGTGGGCAGCCCGTGGGGGACAAGCAGCCACAGGCCCCGACCGATCCGCCGAGCGCACACGACGCGCCACCGAGCTGCGAGCAGGTGAGTCTGGCCGATGAGCTCATGGGTCCGGCGACTGCACAAGGCGCTCGACCGAGCGGTGGCACGGCCCAGACGGCAGACGACATGCACGTCGCAGCGGTGGTCGGCCAGGCGCGCAGGGAGCCCGTTGCGGTCCAGCATGTTCAACCCTCGACGAGTACGCCGACTGCGCGACCGACCGGCGTCACAGCGCAGCTGCCCGACGACCTCCTGCGCCCCGCAGCGGTGGTCGGACAGCAGGGCGGGCCGGCCGGTGCGGGCCAGCATCTTCACCCGTCGACGAGCACGCCGACCGCACAAGACGCGCGTCCGGCTGGCGTCACGGCGCTGGTCGACGAGCTCTTGCGCCCAGCAGCGGTGGTCGGACAGCAGGGCGGGCCGCCAGGTACGGGCCAGCATACCCCCACCGCGACGAGTCCGGCGACTGCACGGGACGCGCGTTCGGCTGGCGCCACGGCGCTGGTCGACGAGCTCTTGCGCCCAGCATCCGTGGTCGGACAGCATGTCCAGCAGGCCGCGGCGGGCCAGCATCCGCACACCGCGACGAGTCCTGCCACTGCACGTGACGCGCGACCGGGTGGTGTCACGGCGCTGGTCGACGAGCTGTTGCGCCCAGCAGCGGTGGTCGGACAGCATGTCCAGCAGGCTGCCGGTGCGGCCAGCTTACCCGTTCATGGGGCCATGGTCGCCGCGGAACCCATCCCGATCCCAACGGCTGTTGAGTCTCGGGCGGTCGAGGCCCTAATCACTCAAAAGCCATCGTACGACGAGTATCTGAAATGGCTCGAGGATCAGGGTCACAAAACCCCGGTAATTCCTCCGACTCACAGCAACCAGGTGGTCGACCAAGGAGCAGAGGCAGCGAACGTCGCGGCGGCGACTGCAGGGCCGAGTGGGTCAACGGTGGAGGCGGCTGTGTGGAGAGCGGCGGAAGAGGCCGGCGGGGTGGACGAAGAGATCCTCGCCAGCATCGTGATGCCGGACCCGGAAATCGAGGTCATGCGGGAGAAACTACAAGCAGCAGCTCCCACCGTGGGAGCGCAACAGGGTGCACCAGCCGCCTCGACTGCTCCTGCGGAGGACCATAGCGCGGCTGGCGCCAAATCTCCCCCGGCCACAACCGGTGAGGTCGGCGATGGGAAGCAGAGGCGCAAGGGCAAGGACAAGGCGAAGGGCGGCCCGCCGAAGGTCGGCTCTTCCAAGGGGACGTCCAAAGCGGCCGCGCAGGGTCGGAAGGGTTCAGGCGTCCGCGTTGACCCTTCAACTGGGCTGGCCGTCTCGGAGATGAAGTTAGGGAAAAAGAGCCGTTACATCTGCCGGTCGATGGACAAGTCCGAGGCCGCCTACTGCATCGCTGTCGCCGTTTCGTCGTTCGACGGCTTCGTCAGCGACGTGGTTCTCGACGAGTTCGGTGGGGTCAAGGAGGAAGTGATGGCGCAGTATAAGGCGGACTGGAATGTGGCGCGATTGATTCCGGGGGGCATGTGGATGGTCATGTGGAGCCGAGGGGCGAACGTCTTCCGCGACAGGTAAGCTTGGCGAATGCTCAATTTGGTGCTCGTTTCGGTCGGTACGCGTGGGCCGGTCGGTGACGGTGGGTATTCCTGCTGTGTTTCGCAGGTTCCAACAGGTGGTCGCGGAATACAACAGGATAACCGGAGCCGACCGCGCAGCTCTCATGTTGGCTCTTCGCCCGGCGGTGTGGTTCGGCGACCTTCCGGAGTCGACCGAGCCCGAGAAGGCCGCGAAGAAGAAGGTGGCGAGCGACATGATCGCACGCGTTTCGATGTGTGCCGCCTTCGCACCGGTGGCCGCGAAAGTGTTGCCCATTCCGGGCGTCGGGTCGGAGCGGTTGTCCGAGATCCTCGCCGGTACTGCGGCCGCGGTGTGGTGTTTTTCGGAGACCAATGCCACGGCGGAAGTAGCGGCCGGCGAAGGGGGGGCGGCAGCGACCGTGCGCGGAGCGTCCAACGAGTTCGCGAGTCGGTGTCGGACCGTCATCGAGGCGGTGCTTAAGCGGGCGGCCTCCCGGGAGGTCGTCGTAGGGGAGGTCGCCGAAACGGTGACGAAGGACCTGCAGGCGGCTGTGCTGAGGTCGCTGCCTGAGGTCGGAGAGGAGCGCGAGCACGACGAGCTGATCGCCCGTGTCATGATAGAGAACCTCGCCTTCTGGGGGGACTGCAATGTCGGAGGCCCGAAGCTCAAGGCTCGCGGCGTCGATTTGCCTATCGACCCCCAGATGAAGGTTATCATTCGGGACAGGGGGGCGAGGGGGCAGCAGCACAAAGGGAAGCAGGTCGCCGACGCCTAGGTCGACGAAGGCTGGCCCGCCTGCTCGTAGCATGGTCGGCGTGGGTGCAAACGCTGCAGGCTTGTTGACCGCTGTTTTGTTGTTTTGTTGTGCCTCTCCGGCTTAGTGATGCTGAACTTGTTCGTCGGTAGTTTTTCAGAAACGTTGTGACGTAGGTTTTGTGGTGTGGAGTCGGTTTGATGCATGAACAACGGACAAACTTCAACTAATTTACAAGTCGAAACAAAGTTGCCAGTAAAAGAAAACCATATAGAGTCACTAGAACAGGTCGGACACGCTCAGCACATCCCCAGCCCACCCTCAGCCCGCCCTCAGCCCGGCCTCAGTCACACCACGCTCAGCCAGCAGCACAACTCGGACCCAGACGCAGTACCCTCAGCCCGCCCTCTTGCGCTTCCCTGCGCCGATGGCTCCCACCGTCGCCTCGGCCTCCAAGCCGGCCTTATTGGCCTGCTCATCCCACAAGTCGCCGAAGAGCCTCTTTCCCCAGTCAGCGTCCATGTAGCCCGCCGTGACCACGCCCCACGCAACGGCGAGCTTCCTCGCCAGCGGCTTGTCCAGACCCTTGATGCCGACCGACTTTCCGTCGGCTGTGGTGGGGACCTTGATGGGCGGGGTTGCACGGAGGACCAAGAGCGCGTCGCTGAAAGTGGAAAGCCCCGCTCGCCCCAGGTGGTCGAGTAGCTTGATGACGGCGGCGGTGTCAGCGGCGTCGTCGCTCCGCCGCAAGTCGTGCACCGCTTCCATGATCCGCCTCATCCGGCGAATGCAGTGCTGCAGCGCATCGTTTTTCCCCGTCTCACCCACCTCGGTCGTGGGACTAGAGCTCTTCGCCGACTTCGCCGACGCGGCGGGTTTGTCGCCCTTTTCGACCTTGCAGATCATGCGCGTGTGTCTGACGAGGAATCTGTGCTCGTCGAAACGTTCGCGCAACGGACGCGAGTCGAAGTTGGACGGGTTGTTCCACCAGCGCCATGCAGCCTCGACCGTCTTGGATGTGCGCCAGGGATGCACGACGTTGACCTCGTACGTCAGGTCATCCTCCTGTTCCTTCTCGATCTTGACGGACGCTGCCTTCTCGGCGGCCGTCATCGGCCTTGACGGTGCGGGCGCAGACGGCGTCGGCCGTGCCTCGGCCAGCTTGAGAGCCTGCATCAACTTCGCGATCTCCGCGTCCTTCTCCTCCAACTTCTTCTGCATCTCAAGCTTCTCGATCGCGGCATCCTCCCTCTGGCGGTGCAGCATCATGGTGAGCTGGTCGACCTGATATTCGGCGTCGATTCGCGCGCTGAATTCCTGCGATCCAAGGGGGATGGTCGGCAAAAGGTGAGCCAATGTTGCAGGACGACTTGTTTTGCAGGTCGCCGGAACGCGCACGCCGTACCTCTTGGGGGTTCTCGCTCGGAGTACTGCGCGTCGCGATGGTTTCGAGGTCCACCCGGTTGACGTCCTTGGCCCATTTTTGGAAGTCGGGGTCGCGGCAGAGCTTGGAACTCTGGACGTACGGGTGCCACGGTTCGCGCATCAGCATGCACGCAAGATCCTCGGCGACGATTCGGCGGCCGAACTCGATGAGCGATTGCAGGAAGTGCACCCCGGCCGTGTTGGGCTCTCTCGCGGATGCGCATTTTACCGCCTGCGAGTCGAACACAAACACAAACACAATCAGCCGTCGGTATAATGTCGTCGTGGAAATGGTCGGCGGGTTGTCGACGTTATTGCCGTCCGAAATGCTCACCTTGGCCAGTTCCGCTTCAGCCCACGGAAAGATGTGCTGGGCGATGAGGGCCACCACCTTGTCGTCGGGCTTCACCATGCTCCGGCCGAGGTGGTAGTCGCCGCGCTTGCCCGTGTAGCCGGCCTTTCTCAACACCGCCGCCTTCGGGATGGTCGTGATGTAGCTCTTCGCGAGCTTGTCGAGCGCCCAGTGGCCCAAGTCGGCGATGTCAGATGGCGGAACGCCGTCGTCGGCCAGCTCCTGTGCCCCACCCGCCCGGGCGGCGTGGGTGTTGCGCGTGATGAAGATGTTGTTCGTCCGCCACATCTCTTTCGTGATCCGAGAATGAGATGACGCCGGCAGCTCTTTTTGTTCCTTGTCGTTCCGAGCATGAAAGAGGTGCTTGTGATACCAGCTGTACGGAGTCGTGAAGTCGAGGGGCGGCACACATCGAGAAGTGGGCGATCGGCTGAGCTGGTCGTACACGAAGTGCAGCCACAACAGTGTGTGACCGACGGCGCACATCTCTTGGTCCAGGTGTCTCGCCGCGTAGCTGTGATGCAGACGAGCATCCTTGTTCGTCTTGGAGTTTCGTGACGCGACAACCATGACAACCGGCCGTCGAGTGGAGTGCTCGGGCGACGCGCTCCCCATTCTGTACAAAAACAGGTCGGGGAGCTCGATCGCTCGGAGACTGGCTCCGCGGAGAAGGGTGTGGTGACCCAAGAGGGTCATCGTCTTCATCAGCAGAAACTTCCACAGTGTCTGGGAGGGGGTGGCCGCTTTGGGTTCGTACGCCCGAGCTGCCCAGGTCGGCAAGACCTTGAACATGAGGTGGCGGATCTGGTCGGTGGTGTACGTGTCGCCGAGCGTTCCGCGGTGCCGGTCGACGCAATCCCTGCACATCAGTTTCCACGAGGACTGGGTTAGCTGGGCGAACCGGGAAACAGGCGCGGGACGACTTGCCGACTTACCTGTCGTCCCTGTGCCACTTCTCTCTGACCATCGCGCGCACCTCCGAGCGGACCTCGGAGATGTCGTACATGATGTGGAGCTCCTTCACCCCGAAGAGCGTCCCCTCGACCTTGCAGGCCGTCTGGAGCGCTTTGATGCGGATGAGCAGCATCGAAACGGTTGTCGGCTTCAGGGGCTGGACACGGACGTCGGGATTTAGCTCCTCGAGCTCCTCGGCCTTTGCAATACCTTCCTGCCTCGCGATTGACAGAATGTACGCCCTGATCCGCGTGGCGTTGACGCGGGGACCGTGCATCCATTGTAGGTCGCCCTTGGCGGTGTGCCACTTATCACCCATGTCTTCGTCGATGTACCTCCCTATCTCGTCCTCGTGTTCCAGCACGCCGTCCCCCTTGACTCTGGCGGTTTGCTGTCTTGGAAGGTTCGCGCAGCACCATCTCCTGAAGTCGAGCAGCGCCCGCAGGTACTGAATCCGGGTCGTTCTCGCCTCCAGCGTGTCGAGATGCCGGAAACCCCACATCATCCTCAGCAATCTGTTCTTCTTGGCGAGCTCTTTGTTGATGTCGAAGGCGGCTTCCGCAAAATCGTCGCGCGGAATGTTTTGCAGGAAGGCGTCATCTTTCTCGTCGGCTGCCAACAAGTCCTCTACGGTCAGATACATGTAGTCGTTTTCTGGAAATGGTCCAATTGGCGGCGGCTGCTCCGTGTCCGAACGCGGCGAGTACCGGTCCGGCCCGGGTTCGGGAGCCCCTTTCGTCCCTGGCGGTAGGGGGATGGTCGGGTCGGCGGGAATTTTTGCCCTAGCGGCGTCTACGTCGACCACCATGTCGGCGGGAATATTTGCCCTAGCGGTGTGTACATCTTCCTCCATGAAAGGCTCGTTCAGGTCGGGAATCGCGCTGCTCCCCGCCGGCGGCGCGACGCCAGCCATCTCGGCGGGTAGAGTTGTTCCCGTCGGCCTCTAGTTGTCGCCGCGATCTCGCTGCGGTACGTGCTCAGCCCACCAAAGTCGATACTGCACAATCGCTGCCGTGTATTGCCTTCGCACAGTGGCCCTAAAGGCCGCCCGTCTTTCGGCCCTCTCAACGTTCTCGGCGATCGTCAACTCCGCGGCAATGTCGGTCAGTTCGGGAATTTCGGGAAGTAAGGGCGGCGGATTGGTGTTCTGCTGGGTGATGTTCGGAGTGGCCGTGGTCGGCGGCACAATGGTCGGCGGGGTGTGAAGTGGCAATGTATCGTTCGGCGGGGTGTTGTCCGGCGGGATGTTGTTAGACTGGTCCCTGACCATTGGAGGCCGCACGGGGGATCACCGGCGATGACAATACTGGTTGTGGGTTTGAAGAAAGAGGTCGGCGACTTTCGGTTGTTGTCGACCTAGTCAGTCGTCCTAGTCGGAATGATCCTAAGTCGGAAGCCCGTAAAGTTTGCCGACCTAAACGCACTCTACACCGGCGTGGCTCGTCGTCGACCCTGCACCGCGCGTGGTCGGTCGGTCTCCGAGAAGCGTGAAAATGAGCAAGGGAAATGTGGCCCACCAGAATGGAAATGAATGCAACGCAACAAACAAGTGTCGAAATGCCATGGACACTTGGCCGTCAGGGGGTCATAGCATAGAGAGGCACAGTCGCGGTTCGGGCGGATAGGTGTTGGCGGGCGATCCGTGGGCATGTCTCCAACTCTGCATGCAAGGCAGAACGGCACGGCGGCGCAATGGTCGACGTTGCACGGGGCACTCATGTCTTTTACGCAGCCGACCGTCCGGTGTTCCCGTCACGGTGAACCGTGCTTACACGTCGGCGTGACGCAGCAGTGCTCATGGCGTCGCCCGACGATGGTATCCCGCGGGGACGTTCCCGCCAGCAGGCCGGCGAAGGCTTGATCGCCACGTGGACAGACGTTTGCCGATCGATGTTCGCCGCGTGGAATGTTGTGTTTCGGATGGGCGACGTGTGGCTCTGCGCGCCAGCGCAGTGGCCGGCCAGAAATCGCGGTGGGCCTCACGTCGCAGTCCGCGCCGATGGCTAGGTGGACGTCGTGGCACGCTGACCGCGACCGGCGTCGTCGAGGTGTCGACCTCGTACGGAGGGTCCGTTGAGAGGTGCTATCGGGGTATTTTTCATCGGGATTGCCGGGCGACGCAGGGTGACGCTCCTCGCCCAGGACGTGCACTCAGTTAGCCGGACAGGATGACGCAGGGTGGCGGATCCCTTTCCCGAGCCGCGTCGTTTTTGCACCCGGATGTAGTCGGGGCGTTGAGATATACCATGCTGTAAGTTCAACGGCTGCGATCAAAATATGGGCTTGTATC